CGATAGTCTGCCCGCCCTGTCCACCCTGTGCCGAGTGTCCCAAACCGAAGCCCTGTCCACCGCCGCCGCCGCCGCCGCCGTGCTGTCCTTGTCCTTGTCCAGAGCCACCGCCGCCTTGTCCTTGTCCCGAACCTTGTCCACCGTGCCCGCAAATGAGACCGTCGTGTCCCGAGGACGTTCCATCTTGTCCCAAGTCCGACAGAGGGGAGCAGAGTGGGAAAGGATTCTTCAAACGGAAGATGTCCATGTTCCATCGCGAAGGATCTCCTTGGCACCTGGCGAAACGGAAGCTTCATTTCGGCTCGTTCCTGATGGGCAAGTCTCCCGACTCTAAGAAACCGAGTTGCAAGGCGATGGACGACATTTGCGGCAAGGGGAAGCAGGGCTGCGCGAAGCCTTGCGAGAAGAAGAGCGAGTGCGGAGAGAAGAAGCCTGTCTGCGGGGACGTGAAGATGCAGCCCAAGGAGGAGGAGAAGAAGAAGAAGGTGTTGTGTCCCGATAGCTGCATCCCCAGAGGAAAATGCGACCAGGTGAAGGTCAAGAAGCCGCCGAAGATGGTGTACGGGCCGGCTAAGTGTCCCACTCCGAAATTCGTGCCACCGAAGCCCTGTCCGACTTCGAAGACCGGACTCAAGGAAGGCACTAAGCGCCGCTCGCTTGAATCGGAGAAAGAAGTCTGCGTACCGCCACCCTTACCCAAGCCGCCCACAAAGCCGGTGATCCTGTGTCCTTGCCCGCCGCCTCCCAAATTGCACCCTGGATCTTGCCCGTGTTACGCGTTCAGTAAGGAACTCACGCAACCGATCCCTATGCCGCCGTGTCCTCAGAAAGAAAAATATCCGTGCTGCAAGGAACCGTTCCTATGCCCGCAAGAGACGCAGATTTGCAAGATGGAGAAGAGTTGCGAGTCGCAGAGGAAAAAGAGGAAGGAGAAGAAGAGTAAGAAGAAGTACGTTTGACATTTTCAATCATTTTTATCGATAGTCCTCCGAATGGTTTTATTATATTAACATGGATCTTAGTAATTTTTGAATGATCGTCTTGAAAGAAATCATTCAGAAGTTATTGGAGGTAGCTTGATTGTTCTTCATCATTGGAGTCGTTGAAAAATGCATTGAGGATTAAAAGATTTTTGTGTGTTACTTAGGTGAATGAAAACGAAGATCGACTATTGGAAGATGAGGACATAGATCAGAAAAGATCGCAGTTTCTTGCGAAGTCTATCAAATACACGGTCTCCGGGATCGACGCTGGTCAACGATTTTTGATCGACTCGTTCGACTGCCCTCGATTTCAGGATCGAAGGAGTATTCCAAAAATTATTTCTATCTTGCTTTTCACTATTTTGCTCCGATGATCCATGGTGTCAGACGTAAATCGAACGAACCGATTGCTCGTGTGCGTTCTTTGTCGCGCGGCTGGCGTCACGCGATTTCGTCTTAAATTTCAACGTCGAGTTTGGCCAGAGGAATTACAACAAAAGCTTTAGTATCTGTCTTTGCTCCCGATTCGCAAGGAAATCGGTATTTCTATTATACTCCGTTTCTCGAGACTACGAACGAGCCTCGCCGGCCACGCGACACTCGACGCACATTGATTTTGTTATTTTCTAAGAGATGTCCAAGTCTAAATTCGAATAGACTTCGCAAAAATCCAAGAAGAACTGTCGATTCCTTTCTGCACTGGGTGACGCTGCAACCGGCGATCCTTTGGGAACGGATCTATGATGGCCGGCCTCGGGAAAACGAATCAGAACCCGCGAAATTTGATAAAAAAATGTCTCCATAAAAATTCACCGCGATCCCCGATCGCAGGGTGAACTTTTCGCTGATGAAACAGATGTGTTCAGTATCACGTGAATAAACTCCATTGTGCGCGTGTACATCCCTGTCTCTGTTAATAATGAAACTACTGATGAGATCGAACCGATCGCGAAGTGAGATACGTGCATACACATGCTTGTCATTTCATCGAAAAAGTTCTTTGCGATTAATATTTATTTCATCTTTACTCGCGTAACCGTACATTCTCCTTAAATCACTAGTAATACTTCCATTTCATATTACGTTTAAATACAATTGCATTTAGACGTCACACGATGGGACAGCGGACGATAATTGATCCAAAGCAAACGACAACGAAAACAGAGCGACATAAAATCACTAGGTTCTAGTTAAACAATTTGAATATACCAAACAGTTTCTACTGCAAATCAATTAATAAGATTCTTCTCGACAACGCAATTCCCCGAGAATTCCATCAACTCAACCATTGTTCTCAGCCATCGCTAGAATCCACCGTGTCCGGATGGAATTCCAGAAGCGGAAGAGAACGGCGGCCACTGGTCGTAAACAGGAAATCGATCTGCACAGTCGGAGATATCGGTCCCATCGTTTCGTTCAGCTCCGCGTCTACTCTCTCGCGTCATCCGCTAATGATCGCGTCGCGGTGCTCGCTCTCTCTCGGCCGCGGAAGAATGTATTTCCACGGCGAGCGGAGAGAGAATCCCGCGTGAAATCGATTAACGGGAGAAAGGACGAATTTAAGTTCGATTAACGGTCCGCTCGCCGGAAGCTGTAAATCGCGGAAGTTGATTCAACGAATTTGCGAGCGTCCAATCGCGTGGCCCGCCGCGTTCACCGTAACAGCGGCCGGAGGAAGAAGAAATCGCTATTAAAAGCGGTTCGTTACAATAATATCGACATTTATATACGACCCGGCTCCGGCCAGAGGAAATGACGACTGGCTGGGGCAGGAGAGGGGGAGTTGTAACAGTGGAGGGGGAAGGGCGAGGGTTCTTATCATTTTATTATTGGGGTGAGCAGCCCTCCGTTCCAAGAACGACGCTTTACTTTTACCTTCCATTGTCTGTCCCCTCTCGTAAAGGCTTAAGGGCCGTTTCCAAACGCTCGATTCGATTATCCTCGACGGATTTCTCTTTCCTTTTTTCCTTACCTCCATTCGCGACGCTTCGTTACTCGCCTCCTCGTCTGACGGAAACGTCTAATCGACGACTAGGCTTTCTTTCTTATATATCGTCGCTTATGATTCAAACTGTACGATAAACAGTGACTCGCGAGTGTAATCGTATAATATACTCGTGTTGATAATCTGCTCGAGGGTTTTTGGAAGCTTGACAAATGTTGCTATGGGATATTAAATTGGCTTTTAAATATTCGAGAGTAAGGATGTATATAGATTACTTTATATAATTCTTCGATTGCAATTCTCGATTCTGGATACGTTTATTTTGAATGATATTACATGAATCAAGTGCTGCAATCGTCTATACTCAAACCTCCAATTTCCACGATCTAACTGAACAACATCAATCCTTCGAGAAACGACGGATCAAATACAATGAATGTCCGTAAACCTAGTGTTAGAGGTTCGATAGTATCATCGTCTACGATGTGCACACGTATTCCGTGGTTCAGGGAAGCTCGCAAACGCTCGTAGGAGATGCCCCACGCGTCCGCGGGAAGCGGCGTTGATAAGGACCCGCTGGAACTGTCGGCAATTCCGGAAGATTGCGCTCGAATTTAGCCGAATCGATCCTCCGCCCCCTCCCCCAGGCCCGATCGGTCGCGATCCCGACTGGTGTGTCTGCACCGCGAAGAGATATCGCGAGCATTATCGCGGACGTTCACCGTGATTGGTCGGATTCGAGGGTATCCTCTCCTTTTCCTCCCTTTCGTTCGACCAATAAGTGACGTTTCCATTGGAGAAAGGGTCCGAAGGAAGGGAGCGCGAGGCTACGGTTAGGGGAACGCCGCTGGAAAGAGCGGGAGGATCAACGGAAGAGAGAGGAAGACGGGGCGAGAACGGGGAGAGACGGTCGAGGACTGCGAGCCGGAGGATGAGGAAAGAGAAAAAGGGGGCGAGAGGATGGCTGG